GAATGTTTGTGAATTTGCATCTGAAGAAATTCGTTTATGGGGAGAATGTTAGTAATTTGTTATCTGAAAAAGATTCTTTAAAGATCATATCTTGAAGATCATTTCTGAAGATTGTTGTTGATATTGTTCTTTATTGTAAAAAGAGAAGATCGTTGTTTTTTTCTACATTCGAATTGAAGATTGTTGCTGATATTGTTCTTTACTGTAAAAAGAGAAGATCGTTTTTTTTTCTACATTCAATGGGGAGAATGTTAGAAGATTTTCTCAACAGAAGATCATTTGAAGATCTTAAAGCAGAGAATGTCAAAAGATTAATTTGAAGATTTCAAGAAGTCATAAAGTGCTTAAAATTACAAAGTTCAAAAAAGATTCAAAGCGTGCAAATTCTTTCAAGCCTGAATACAAAGGGGAAAATGTTAGGATTGAATTTTAGTGATAAATTATATTTGTCTTGAAAGTCTATAATTGTAATATTAGCATGTTTTACTTTGTTTGTAATGTTGACTTTGAATAGGGGTTTCAATGTTTGACACTTTATATACTTTGTCTTCTAGTGTAACTGTAGATAGAAGAGCTCAGTTGTAATATACGTAAGATTGAGAGTAAATTGAAAGTTTAACCAGTTGACTTTTTCTCTCTACTCTTTTATGGTGTTCTTACATGTTCATATGAGTTTGTCATTACTTCATGAAGATAATTGAAGATTGATCGTATTGTTGGACACACAGGAACACCATAGAAGAGTAGAGAGAAAAAGTCAACTGGTCAAACTTTCTATTTACTCTCAATCTTACATATATTACAAATGAGCTCTTCTACCTACAATTACACTAGAAGACAAATATATAAAGGGTCAAACATTGAAGCCCCTGGTCAAAGTCAAGATTACAAACAAAGTCAAGCATGCTAATATTACAATTATAGACTTTCAAGACGAATACAATTTATCACTAAAATTCAATCCTAATAGAGTTTTCATAGATGAGCTCTTGGTTAAATAGTATTTCTTCAGCATATCCTTGACATACTTACTTTGCTTGAAAATGATATCTTATCTGATTGTTTGATCTGAACAACTAGAAAGTAAGTCAGTTATCCCATCATGCTCATCTGATATTCTTTCTTTATGCGTTCAATGAACTAAAACCACAAAGAGTGATTAGTGGTAAAAAAAAATAAAATCATCGAATATAAATTTGGAGTAGAATGATATGACCCTTGACTTTCCTAAATATAAGTTATATGTTATACCCACGACATGTGTCACCCAGATACACTGCCAACGAGCCATGTAAACCAAAAGGGTCGCACACAAAGAAGACGTATGCTTCCACTAAAGAAAAGAATCTAAACATGTGTACCGTTTTGTGATTATTATAATTACAGGGTTTAATCTATAAATATGTATGTAATTATCTTAAAAAATTTTAGGTAGTTATATAAGATATCATTAGATAAATAAATAATCATTTTATATAATGATTTAGCCTTATTAAGAGGTATGGTAAATCTCAAAGACTGACCATATAAATATAAATAAGGCTTAGGGGCTAACCAAAGTAGTGGATTGAGTTATGATAATTAGTTGTAGCCTCAAAACCATTACGATACAATTAAGAATTAGGGTTCTTTGGGCTAGCACCCGGTGGGAGTTCCAAGCGTGTTCGTGTGTGGACAACCGATAGAGGAAACCTGATTTGGTTTCTTTGTGCTACATCAAAGTTTTAATTTCAACAACAAGGTAAATATTTTAAACATCCTATGGTTTGTGTAGATTCGTTTTAATTGTCAATGGATCTGGCTTTGGGTTTTAATGTTATAACTGGGTTTTCTACAAACTGGGTTGAGGTAAATTTATGTGTTCATTATGTGAATTATGTGATAGCATGCATGTTTTCTTAAAGATAAATGCATAAATTATGTGCACATGTGTGGTAATTTTATATTATGCATGCATGTGGAAATTTTATAGGCAGTTATATGATAAAATAATATGTGGGAATATTATTATAATCCAAACCTTCATGGTTAAGAAAGGTTGATTATAAAACATTATCTTTCCACCTCCTAATGATTTTATATTAAAAGATATTCATCACCGCCTCATCCTAAGTATAAAAGAAAGAGGATAAAGTAAAAACCTTACTAGTTCACTATTTTACAGAATATACAAGTGAAATTTAAAGGCGTTGAAAGTGTTCTTGAAGAAGTTCTTGAAAAATATTCTTGAAGAATATTGATGTTTAAAGATTTTGTGATTTGCTGCGTGATAATCTGCAGAATCTATTATTTTAAGGTGAGTTTTAAACTACCATCGATTATAAATTGTGAGTTTTATCTACTATTTGATTCTATAAATTATGGAGTATTGATGGGTTTAAATTTAAAAGAATCCAGTAGAACTGTTTAAAACGGTTTTTAAAAGAAACCGTTTTATGAATTGAAAAGCTTAAACCTGTTTTGAAAATTGTTGAGTAGGAATTGTGTTTGAAGGAACAGTTTGGATATGGTATTCTATTTTAGAGGATTAAGCAAAAATAGACAACTGAGAAATCATATGAAGAACAGATTGTTCTTATGGATTGAAAGGTTTGAATATAAACCTGATGATCTCAGATCTCTCAATAACACTAATAATCTATTTAAGAATAACCAAATTATAGTGTTTTAATGGAGAAAATGATGAACACTCAAGAATGAACTATAAACAATAAAGAACAATCTTGAGCGTCAAAGGTTTCACCTTTGATAAGAAAAACGTAAAAGAGACATTTAGTACAATAGGCCTAATCACCTATTTATACTAGAAAGCTAATTAGAAGATAACTATCTAACGAGACTTTTTAGCTAATCTTCTATTAACAGATAATGTTTATCTAAACTGTTGATAAGCTTTAATATTAAGATAAACTTGAAGTGTAGCTGTCGACTTGTCATCTCCAGCTGTCTTCCATGGTATGATGAATCATCCTTGTCTTTAAATCTTCATCGTATGCCTCTAGATGAATTGCTGAATAATTCTCTTGAGTGTTATTGACCCGAGGGGCGATGAAGATGTTCTTTCCATCGCATCCCTGGTCGTCCATCGACCCTCTGGTTGTTCAACAGACTTGGCCAATTCTGCCTTGATGTCTTTATCGGTCTTCTGGTTCTTCATCACTTATTGTTTTTCATTATTTTTTCACTTTATGAATTATGGGACTTAACAATCCCCCCCTAAGTAATGAAAGAACAAACATAGACTAATCTAGAAACAATTGTGAAGAACAAAGACTAATCTAATAGAAAAGCATCAAATTCGAAATTTTCATTGGATGATGAAATTCTTACAATACTGGAATCAAAAGACATCATTTTTAAGGCACAAGTTTACAACTCATCATGATCTACCTTGAACTATATCTCTGAAGTGCAGAAGTAGTCTTCGATAGCCGATGACTGTCGATATCTCATGGATGAGTTGACTCCCTTCTTCTCTTCGAATGTGATTTCTACCCAATCTTTCTCTGATGACTTTCTGAAACCATTCAAGTGTATCCGAAGAATACTTGAATGCCTTAGTTAGTCTGAAGAATTTCTTTGGCCCGAACTCATTCTTGTAAACAAGTCCAACTCGGGTTGAGTTAATACTGAGGCAGATCTTTTCTCCTACAGGCCTTGGAAGTCTTCGTTTGCTGGAGCGCAGAAAAGTCTTTCAATGCCTAAGTGAAGAGCAATTTTGAAATCACTCTTTGTGTTGGACCGTATTACTCAGTTCAGGGTATTGAAAACTTACTTGATTAAATAGATAGACATTTAGTATGCAGCGGACAGTTAT